CCATCTAACACCTTGCCAATTTCTTTTGTTTTCTCCCAAGTATTGCCCATTTAGATTGGAGTGTTGGCAACGTTTGTACCACCAGGCACCGGTACATCTAACTGCACAGTTGTTAGACCTATCTTTGTCATTATCTCTGTCTTTTGTGGTAAAAGCCATGTTATCATGATATCCTAATGAATCTTTTGCTGTCCCTGAATATAAACCCACTTCAAGTCGATACTGCGCATATTCATCACCAATATTGAACTTGCCGTATTTCGCAAACACTCTAACTCTGTTCCAGTCCTCCAGCTCTACTCGCAAAGAACCGGGTCGAGAGGCTGTTAGCCTATGAATCTTGTCATTTCCGAGCCAAAACTCTCCAGACACCTGGCCAAAGCCTGCTTTGTAATCATTCCATCCACGATAAAAGTCTACCGAGCCATCCTGTCTTCTATGAAACACAGTCCAGCCTCCACCGTCAGTGCGCATGTCACAGTAGACCTTGAATTTTCCTCTACCGTCTGGATTGACAAAGTACTCTCCACTCTGAGTATGGCCTGATTTAAGCAGATCTAGGCAATCTGTTGAAAAAAAAAATAAATAAAAATTTAAGCGCTAAAATATCTTGGAGACAGTTGTTGGGAATATCCCGCTTCCGAACGTTCAGGTGAAGCTTGCAAGCATTTTTACTGATATACACAATATGAGCTCGTGTCAGATTTCCAAAGGAATCCCATTAGAATGAATGGGAGGTGGGGGTCGGAGAGTTGGGGAGGGGTAGAAACTCTCGCACTATTTAAATAAAGAGTTCCAAACTTCGCAACGTAATGTTAAATTTGGTATTAAAATTTCATCGTTCTCAGAACTTAATGTTTTCTATGGCAACCATGTTCTGTATTCTTTTCCAAATTTTGCATTTTTTGTTTTAGGAAACAAAATTTAACTTTCATGCAGTTGTTTTGTACATTTTAGTGCTTCTTCGCGATGGTTTATCGATTTTTATTACTTTGGAGTAATTTTTGGTGTTTGGATCTCATGAACTTATTACCATGTGATATAATTCATCATTCTAGGTTGCTTGGATAAAAAGAATATATTTCAAGTAATAACTGCTGCTTTACAAGGATATGTAGCTTCTAACAAAAGAAAGATGTTTCTACGTAGCTTACTACACCCTCCAGGTTGCATTTTGTTTGCTTGAATATCCTTGAAGGTATGCAGGAGGGGGGAAGGGGATAGTGGTAATCTACAACCCTACGGTTGTCTTTCTTACTACATAACTTTTTATTCACAAATGACTCCAGGACTTTTTCCATAAAAGACCTTTGATTGATAACCAAAGAACCTACAACGTCTGTTTTTCCTGGTACTCCGGACGACACTGACCTCTCTTTGTTGGTCCATTCTGATCACGGGAAACATCCATGCAGGAGACCTGAGTTAAGTTGAGACAATTATAAGAGTTATCTCGCTGCTGTATATATATTATTTCACTACAACAGTCAAGGCAGTATCGTGTAGTTCTATAGGGTCTCAGGGTCCAAATTGCCGAAATTTTAGGTGGCTCTGAGCTCGCTCCACAGAATTGTTTGTTCCACAGAGTTGTTTCCAAAGAGTTGTATGTTGACATGCTAATAACCCTAATCTTAACCCTAACAGCTCCATAAAAGAATAAAATGGGAGTCACCGAGCTCAGTTTTGAGTTATAAGCATTCAAAGCTAAAGTTCAAGGTGTTTACACAGGTTCGACTCTTGCTATAGCACGATATTATGCCATGAACATAACTGTGAACATAATTATGGTATTTGCGTGATACCAATATTGCAACATCACTTAATAGTACTAAATAGTGATCTCTAGCCACCTTAAAGGGAAAAAACTGACCTGTACAGAGCCATAGTATATAGATCCTTTCCTCCATTTAAAATCTCCTGACTTCATTTGTCGTGTTTTGCTATTTAGCTCGCATTTGAATGGTTTGGCACTGTTGCCATCGAGATGAGTATTAAAAGACTTGCAGCTGTTATTTCCAATGCATTTCAGCTGACATTCAAACTCGTCAACAACAGCAGCTGTCCTCATGATGTGACCAACTAAAGCATGGTCTGAAAACAACAGAAAAATAAAAGTTTCATTGATGTAAAATATCCTACGAAGAGATCTAAACAAAACTTCCAATGACCGCTCTAGTTATGTGCTATGTGATTACTTACCGAGTTGAGTTTCAAAAACACTACAAAAGTCTTTGTTCGCCGCCACAAATAAGGCAACCAGGAAAATGTTGAGAGTGACAATTACCAACTGAGTATGCCATAAAGTAGCCATCAGTGAGATCTGTGGTATCTTCTCGGTGCGAGGAGTAATGCTTCTTTGCCTTCGTATACGTGGCTTTTAAATAGCTCTGCCACTCCTATAGCTAATAAGCTGTCAGTATACGTAATTTATCACAGTGATAGACGTGAAGGTCCATTTACCCATATAATACTACTACGCAATTAGACAGGTCACGGGGTATAAGGTGACGGATATTTCTTGCTGTCCAATAAAATTTTCAAAAGAAATATTAAAAGAAAAATTAAGCAAAGCCTAGACAACATAGAATTTAACTTGATCTCATACACTACCCACTACCAGTATTCTTCAGGCATACAGTCAGAGCAAGATAACAAAGTATTTTGCAAGCAAGCACTTTTTTAGGGTATCGATCGCGAAATTACAGTGTAATAACATATACGTTGGATAAGTTGACAGGAGGTTGATTCAAGTGTTTTAGTCTAGCTGGTTAATTAGAGTGGTTTTCCAGACGTGCCTGGCTCAACAGAGCCTCTAGAAAAAAATATTTTTCCAACAGGAATGAGTTGCATGTCGGTAGAACAATGATTAGGGGATAAAAGAAAGTGTTTTTCACGGTTGTATGATACCTCTTGATGTTAGAAAGACTAGTAGTGGGCAGGAAAGATTTTTCAGTTATTGAGCGAAGCAAAAAGACAAACATCATCCATAATTAATTCAATTCGTAAGTCAAGTCTGTTTTGACGTGCCTAAGCGTGTTGTATTATTCGAATTTCTTTCTTTCTGTTTTAAAACTAAGAAAACGATTTAATATCTCCTTGAAATCTTTAGCTTACAATCATATGAAAAACAAAATTAAAACTCCTTTTCTGTTTCATTATGACATGTAATTAGGAGTAACTTTATATGAGTCAAATTGTGGATCTTCGTTTATTTAAAACCATTAACTAATTGAGTTCCTAAATTTATTCGAATATTGTTGATCATGACTAAATTTGAAAACACTAAGTCTTGAATCTTATAAGTGAATGACACTGAGATATGCCTCAGGACAAAGAACATTTTATTACAGAACTATTGGACTTTGGAACAATTTAGACCCCTTTTTAAAATCAAGCTGTTCAGTTCAAG